ACTGTTTCACTTGGTCCTCGGGCTGACCTCGGCTGCCGCACAGTGAAGGACTCCGGCACCAGCCTGGATTTTCAAAATAAAAGCATGTTCGCGCTCAACGTGACTGTGGGCTCCTTGCGCCCTCTTACGGTGTGCCTGTATACACTACAGATTACTACATGTATCTATCAGAAATATTAACAGAAATATCAAGACAAAGCTTTACAATAAAGAAAATAAGAAAAATAAAGAGGAAAACAAAGAATCAAACGTTAATTTAAAAAAAAAGTGTGATTATAATCTTTAAGATAAGATAAGATAAGATAACCTTTATTAGTCCCACACGTGGGAAATTTGTTTTGTCACAGCAGGAAGTGGACAGTGCAAAAGTTATGAAGCAAAAATTAGAATACAATAAGGATAAATACAGTACACAACTGTACAAAATAGAATAAAATAAAATACTATATACAGTAGAATAAAATAGAAAAAAATATACAATAAGAAAAAAATAGAATACAAATGCTATATACAACTGAGAAAATTTACAAAATGTACTGAATTCTAAGCCGTGATGGACAAAGTTTCCCCATATTCATGTTTTAAAGTCGTTCAAACAAAATGAATTAGTAATCGATAAACATGAACATTTTCTTCTTCTTCTTGCTGCTCCCTTCAGGTGTCACCACAGTGGATCAGTCTGCCTCCATCTCATTCTATCCCCTGTATGGTGTTCTGTTACACCAACCCTCTACAACTACAAAACTTCCTCGTTTTTGTCTGCCTGGCAGCTCCATGTTCAACATCCTCTTTTTAATGTATCCACTATATTATATATAGAAAGGAAAAGTTGTGCCTTTCAAAGTCATCTATTAAAGGAATAACCCGAGGAAAGGGAACGATGAATAAATGAAAAAACGAAAGAATGACTATCACTGAAATTAGATAAGAAATACTACCAGACCACGACACAAAAATCAGCCTATTGTTCCAGGTCCTGCACAGCTACTCCTCATCAAGAAGTGTGGTGGTTGTCTGTGAGGACGAAAGAATTATTACTGGGAGCAAATAAGGTCTACTGTTGAGGAAAACTTATGCAAATGTGTGTGCAAAGTGCAAAGGTAAAGGTTGGTGCAAAGAAGTTGCTGCTAAGACATGATTACTCACCTGTCTTTTCTGTGTACTCTCCAGGGTGTTTGGGCAAATGTTTCCCTGGGATCCGGACACTATTTAAAGGTTGTAGGAGAGGCCATAGATTAAAGGAGTGTGTTTTTGGTCTTCCTCACTGTAAATCCAGCCGCAAAAGGCCGCCTTATCACACAGACTTGGGATCATAGATAGAACTTTGGGGCTGATGCCACCAGAAAAAGCAGCCTTGCTCTGGTTTAGTTTCTCCAAATGTCTCTTAACTTGATTAATTTATTCTTAATGTATTATTTTCTTTGGTATGTGTTTATTCTCTTTTATTTTTATTTTTTAAGAAATCTGTTCTCATTCATAATATGCTGTGTGAAATGTGGTGGTATAATAACTCTCTACCTTTTGGGTTATTATCTTTGCATTGAATCAATTGTAAAATCATATATTTCTATCGCCATGTTTTGCTTTTTGCTATTTTTGTAAAGCTGTAAAATAATAATAACAATCTTCATCATTTGCTTAAAAAAAAAAGAAGTGGACAGCAACACAGTTGAAGTACTTAGCAGTCCAGCTGTATGAGCATCACACTGTAACATAACCGCTCATTAATGTTTATAATCCATTTATAAGAACATTTTGGGACATTAGAGGGTGCCACTGGAGCGCGATCTGATTGTGGAGCTTTGCTACTGGTGACTCTGGGGTGGTTGGATCCATGCAGAGGGGATTTCTTCACTATGAAAACACTAGATGGCGCTTGGGATGGGTTTATTACAGGGCATGTTGTCTTTAATGATCACCAAATCATTCTTTTTCCTTTATTGCTACCCATTTTGTCCTTCATGTAAGTGAACTGTAATAAGTTTAAAGACGCTGGCAGTTTTTTCTCTAACACTCCATAACTGTCCCATCACATCCGATCCTCAATATTGATAAGAGCGGATCACTAGGCTCAAAAGACAATTAATATTTGCTTTTATGTGACTTACTAATTGAATAATCTACAGTGAGGTTATAATGCTGTTAAAAACACAAAATTATAGACTGTATAGAATTAAAAATCAAACGTGCAGCAGGATGGGGAGGGCTCGTATGTTTTCTTTAAACCGGAAAAGAGGCGGGGACAGCAGTAACGTTAGCAACCACGCTGAGCGACAGGGACGGTTATCGTTAATGTGAAGAAAGGACTGCACTCTAATATGTTTCTCTAAGTACAGACTGAGTTTATGTTGCAGACCGGGAGTACCATCGGATCCACCTGAGAAGCGGCGTCCTTTGGTACCGAGCAGGTAAGGCCGAAGGCTGACGTTGCGGCTGACTGTGCCGTAGTCACTGTGGGATTGTCCCCGATCACAGGAGGCTAACGTTAGCCAGTAAGTTGCGCACGAGACGGCTATCAGTGGCTAACCATTTCACCTAAACACTGTCTCTGGAGGGTAATACGTTCACCTTTTGTTGTTTTTATATGTTCCTTGTGGGTATTACGTCAGATAAAATGCTCTTAGGGTGGCCGTTAGCATGCTAAGGTTAACAGCGAAATAGTGCTAGTCAGCCCGTGACGCTGTCAACGCCTCGACTGGTTTTGACAGCTCACTTTGGACAAGGCCGAAGCCACACACATCTGTAGTATTCACTGTTTTTATCTACGTGAGGCTAAACCACCCGCTGCTTTAAACCAGAGTAGTTAAAACATGGCCCATTTTAACTGAGTTTTTTTTTTCTTTTTTTTAACATTATGGCCAATGCTACCCATTTGTAGACAGTCTGTTGCTAAAGTGAGCTGTTAAGCTTTACATGCGTTGTTGTTGTTTTTCCGCCTTCCGGTGTTTATTGTGTTGCTGCTTATCATTTCAAAATTTCCCTAAAGATAACAGCTACAGCCACAGCCAGCATCGCTGCTTTCATTAGTGGTGCGAGATTCGGGTTAACGCCCCACCCTGACCGCGCCACCCCTTTGTGCACAGTTTATATCATGTAGTATTGTCACGTTGCTGGCGGAGGCAGTGAAACGGTGCAAAGAAAGGTTTGTTAGACGAGATACTCTTCCTATCACCAGCTTTACGTAATCTCACGAGGCTTGACAGTGAAACTAGCTTCTAATCAGATTTTCCTGGTGTGTACTACAGAGTTTAAGGTCACTTCAGCTTTTGCAGGGATGGCCGCAAAGTCCAGGTAATTGCGAGGAGCCTGGTAAGATGAACGAAACCTCGCCCTGTTTCACTTTGCAGGGATTTAGTGTTGG